CATAGAGCCATATCTGCATATGGTAGGTACTCAATTAATATTGCCTAATGAAGTTTTTTTTTACTGTATAAAAACCTGTGCTACATCCTTTAAGAAAATCTACATTATGAGCTTGAATTATGCTTCTACATCTGTGGACATACTTTTGACTTCCCATATTAGACAGTCTGTAGATTCTGGATGATGCACCATAAGACTGATGAAGTTTACAGGCATGAATTTCTTTAACAAGGTTGTATATTTTTAAGTTTCATTTATTTAAAAGCTTTTTCATCATTAATTTACACAATAACAGTTCCTTTTCAATTTGCATATTTTGTCACTTACGCATTCATCTATATTATTTCATTGTTCTGCTCATAATATATATTACAAAATATAATTCTCTCAGCCACATACTATCCTGGGAACCCTGCTTTGTAGAAATAATTGAATATATTAAACTATTCATAACACTAAACCACAGTACTAGAAAAGGTAGGTAAAAGTCATATTTCAAAATTTTTGAACAGATAACTGTTGTTACATTTCAATTTAAAACTAAATTGAATGAGGCCCAACAGTAAGTGGGAAGTCTTTTAAATGAAATTTTCTAATGTATTTTTAGAGACATTTTAAAGCATTTTTTTAGAGGAGCAGCTGGGTATAAAGATGTAAAGAATTACCCACTGATTAAGACTCCAAATGAGTTGCTATATTTTAAACTTTCAGTTTCTTTAAGTTTTAGATATGAATTACTAAACATCTATGATGTGGCAGAAACTTCATATATGTTGACAGAGGTGAATATTATGGTTTTCATTACACAGGTCAGGAAACAGAAGCCCACAGAGTTTAAGTAACTTGTTCAAGGTTATACCTCTATAACCTGGGAAACTACAGTTCAAAAACACGAGCATCAGAGGCCAAGTTAGTATTCTACTAAACAAAGCCTACTGAAAGTTACCTTCTGTATACTTGCTGCCTTCTCCTTCACACCCTATCACCCTCATATTGCTTTCAAACTATCCAGCATACCTCACTGCTATACTTTATAATGGTTAAGTAGGTTGTTCTTCTGGGTTCTCTTTCAAATTCCATTTGGTAAGGGTTTTGAAACATATTTATCATTTGAAGAGAAATTACCCATGAACTAAAAAAAACAAAAAACAAAATAGGTCATATGTTTCAGTTATGGATAAGATGCAGTAAACAGACACCAATCTGTCTCTCCCACTAAATACAATTAATTAACCTAAAGAGAATGAATGAACAGCTATTTGAAGACTGTGAAAATTAAAAAGTAGCAAGAACATGGGAGAGAAGGCCAGAAAAAGTACAATCAAACCAGAGCAAGTTTTACATTTTTCTCTGGTATCCCTGGTCCAATACTGGTTCAAGGCATCCTGAAACATAGTAGTAGACACCAGATGCAGAGACAGCTCCAGGAGAAGAAATACTCATTCCCCTGCTCAAACCAGAAGGAGAATAAGCATTACTAAAGTTCAAATGAGTTGGAAAAGTCACAGGTTTTTTTCTTTTGATTTTCTCCATTCTGTCACGTTCTAGATCCTGGAAGTCCCATGGTAAAGAAAGGAGTAATTGTATCAGAGAAGGCCCACAGGTGTGGAAAACACTAAAGGTCCTCTTGACACAAGGAGGAGCTGTGGCCCAAAATGAATGAGGTGCACCCTGTTGCCTTTTTTCTCTGCCTTCCTTGACTTGGCCTTGAATGCAAGTGAATTTGGGGGATGCACAGAGATAATAAGGGTAAATAAAACCTCATTTTTTTCTATCAGAAAAACATAATAGGAGAGACCCAGAAGATTGGTAAGTAGCAAGAAGATCATGGAGAAGATTCAGTTTAGGACTGTCCCTATAAAGTTGTTTATGAACTCCTCTGCTAATCCAGGAGTAATGAATGCATGGATCTGATCCTAAGTGTTGGATCCTAACAAAGACTTTAGAACTGAAATAAAAGAGATCACTGCTCAGGTCTCAGACTGGCCATGGGTTGTGCACACACAAAAGACATCTACATATCATGGCAAAGACTTTGAATGTTAAACTGACATTGAAATCATAACACATAAAAGGCTAGCCAGAACTTTTGGCCTCAATCCAAGTGGATCAGCTGCCTGCCAAAACACTAAGAAAATCAATTAGCTCTAAAGCATTTCTGTAAGGCTTAGAATCTCATAAAACAACATGCAAAATGACTATAATATAAAATTATAGCACAAAAAGAACCTCCACTAATGTGGAAAAAGAAAATTGAAAGATGATGATATGGTTCAGATATGTGTCCCCACCCAAATATCACATTGAAATGTCATCCTCGACGTTGGAGGTTGGGCCTGATGGGAGGTGACTGGGTCAGGGGGTGGTTTCTAATGCTTTAGCCCCATCTCCCTAGTGCTGCTCTTAATAAGAGTTATCATGAGATCTGGTTGTTTAAAAGTGTGTGGCACCTCTCCCATCTATCTTTTCCTCCTACTCCAGCCATATGAAGTGCTATCTCCCCATTTGCCTACTGCCATGATTGTAAGTTTCTTGAGGCCTCCCCAGAAGCCAAGCAGATTGCCAGCATCACACTTGCTGTACAGCTTGTAGAACTGTGAGTCAATTAAACCTCTTTTCTTTGTAAATTATCCAGACTCATACATTTTTTTTTACAGCAGTGCAAGAATGGACTAATACAGAAAATGGGGTGCCAAGGAGTGGGGCATTGCTATAAAGATACCTGAAAAAGTATAAGCAGCTTTGGAACTGGGTAACAGGCAGATGCTAGAATAGCTTGGAGGGCTCAGAAGAAGATAGGAAAATGAGGGGAAAATGGAAACTTTTTAGAGAATTGTTAAATTGTTGTGACCAATTTGCTGATGTGGATATGGACAATAAGGTCCAGGCTGATGCAGTCTCAGGGGGAAATGACAGATTTCTTATTGGGAATTAGAGCAAAGGTACTTCTGTTCCTTAACAAAGGAATTCACTTTATTGTACCCCTGCCTTAGAGATCTGTGGGACTTTGAACTTAAGAATGATTATTTCAGTTATCTGGCAGATTAAATTTCTAAGCAGCAAAACATCAGGACATGAGCTGGCTGCTTCTAATAGCCTATGCTCATATATGCAAAGAAATAAATGATATAAAACTGGAACTTATATTTAAAAGGGAAGCAGAGCACGAAAGTTTGGAAAATTTGCAGCCCAGACATGTGGTAGAAAAGAAAATCCATTTTCAGGGGAAGAATTCAAGCAGGCTTGAGAAATTGGCATAACTAAAAGGAAGGAAATTGCTACTAGCCAAGACAATGGGAAACATGCCTTGAAGGCATTTCAGAGACTTTTGAGGCAGTCCTTCCCATCATAAGACTGGAGGCTTAGAAGCAAAGAATGGTTTGCTAGGCCAGGCACAGGGCCCTGCCATGCTGCACAACCTTAGGACACTATTCCCTGCATTCCAGTTGTCCTTAAATCCTGATTTCAAGTGAATCTCCCACATCAGCCCCCAGGATAGCTAGGACTACCGGCAAATGCCACTGTGCCCAGCTAATTTTTGATTTTTTTGTAGAGATAGGGAACTTGCTTTGTTGCCAGGCTGATGACAAACTCGGGGCTTCAAGTGATCCTCTGCCGTGGCCTCCCAAAGATCTGGAATTACAGGCATGAGTCACCATGCTTGGCTTTAAATTCTTCAAAGTAAGTTTGATGAAGAAAGCAAAAACTATAAAATTCTTCAAGGAGGTTTATAATGTATGTAGGTGTAATACCTAAGACAATAACATAAATTGATAAGTATATTGGGACCTACATATGATGATTAATACTTCTACATTAGAAGAGATGGGGGGGTAGGAATGGAGGACAGGCCCCTAGAGTCATCACTAAAATCAACATTCACAAAGATACAGTCTAAAATATAACAAATAAATGCTACAAAAAAATTCAAATAGCCGCCGGGTGTGGTGGCTCAAACTTGTAATCACAGCACTTTGGGAGGCCGAGGCGGGTGGATCACGAGGTCAAGAGATCGAGACCATCCTGGTCAACATGGTGAAACCCTGTTTATAAAAATAGCAGAATACATTTTAGTAGAGATTAAAAATACAAAAAAATTAGCTGGTCATGGTGGCACATGCCTATAATCCCAGCTACTCAGGAGGCTGAGGCAGGAGAATTGCCTGAACCCAGGAGGCGGAGGTTGCAGTAAGCCGAGATCGCACCATTGCACTCCAGCCTGGGTAACAAGAGTGAAACTCCGTCTCAAAAAAAAAAAAAAAAAAAAATTCAAATAGCCTTAAAGAGCCCTTAAAATGCATAAGATAAAGAAGAATAAAAAGGAGAGCAAGCATGAAGAAATTCAAACATATCAATATTTACATTTAAAATCATGTACTAAGCATATAAACAGAGAGACTGTGATTATAAGAATGGTTGAATGCATATATATTTTTTAAATGACCCTGATATTGTTTGGCTGTGTCCCCCACCCCCCAGATCTCATCTTGAATTCCAAGGTGTTGTGGGAGGGACCCAGTGGGAAATAACTGAATCATGGGGGCAGGTCTTTTTTGTGCTATTCTTCTGATTGTGAATATAAGTCTCACAAGATGTGATGGTTTAATAAGGGGAAGTTTCCCTACACAAGCTCTCTTTCAGCCTGCTGCCGTCCACAAAAGATGTGACTTGCTCCTCTTTGCCTTCACCATGATTGTGAGGTTTTCCCAGTCATGTGGAACTCTAGTCCATTAAACCTCTTTCTTTTGTAAATTGCCCATCTTAGGTATGTCTTTATTAGTAGTGTGAAAATGGACTACTACAGACTCAATTACATGTTCTCTAAAAGAAACTACAAATGTAATGATAAAGTAGAAAAAGATGAAAGAGAAAAGGATGAAAGAAAAAAGCAATAGAAAGATACACTATGTAGTCACTAATAAAAAGAAAGTTAGAATGTAAAACATACAGAAAACAGGTAGCAAAACATCTGACATAAATCTTACCTTATCGGTAATTACCTTAAATGTAAATAGATTAACCAATCCAATCAAAAGGTAGAGTACTGGCCGAATGGATTGAAAAAGGAAAGAGAAAACATGACACAATTTATAAAGACAAACAGGTTAAATAAAGAGGTGTACTTTGCATTAACCAAAGAAGAGCTGCAATGGCCATATTAATCTCATACAAATAAAACTTAGAGACAAAACTAATACTGAAGACTAAGAAGAATATTTCATAAAGAGAAGAGAAAATTAATCCATCAGGAAGATATAACAACTATACCTTTATGTGTACATCACAATAAAGTCCCAAAATACACAAACACTGATGAAATTGAGGGGAAATATACATACATTATGAACCAATTAGATCTCATAACTATCTATGTAACACTGCAACCAACAATAGCAGAATACATTATTTTCAAGTACATATGAAACATTCTCCAAGATAGAACATTCATTTGGCTATGAAATGAGTCTCAGAAAATTTTTAAAAATTGAAATTATATAAAATATTCTCTGAATACCATGGAAAATTAAATTATAAATCAACAATAAAAAAGTTGAGGAAATTCAACATATGTGGATATTAAACAACAGTCTCTTAAATAAGCAATGGGTTGGTACAAAATTCACAAGAAAATTTTGAATATGTTTTGAGATCAATGGGGACAATGAAAAGAAAAAAGGCCACAAACTTACGGGCTACAGCAAAAGAAATATTTTGAGGCAAATTTATAGCTATAAATAAAAATAATTTTAAAGAAGAAAGCTCTTGGCTGGGTGTGGTGACTCACATCTGTAATCCCAGTGCTTTGGGAGGCCGAAGTGGGTAGATTGTCTGAGGTCAGGTGTAATAAGGCCAACCTGGACAACATGGTGAAACACCATCTCTACTAAAAATACAAAGAAATTAGCTGGGCATAGTGGTAGGTGCCTGTAATCCTAGCTACTCAGGAGGCTGAGGCAAGGGAATTGCTTGAACCAAGGAGGTGTAGGATACAGTTTAATTATGGTTAATAGGGTTAACCATATCCTCTAGCAATTTCATTTCTAGGTACATACCTTAGAGAAATGAAAATAAATGCCTTCACAAAAACATGTTCATAACATAACTCAAATATCCATCAACTGATGAATTGATCAATTTTTAAATATCCCGGCCAGGTGCAGTGGCTCAGGCCTGTAATCCCAGCCCTTTGGGAGGCCGAGGTGGGCAGATCACCTAAGGTCGGGAGTTTGAGACCAGACTGACCAATATGGAAAAACCCCACCTTTACTAAAAATATAACATTAGCCTGGCGTGGTGGTGCATACCTACAATCCCAGCTACTTGGAAGGCTGAGGCAGGAAGAATCTCTTGAACTCAGGAGGCAGAGGTTGCAGTGAGCAGAGATCATTCCATTGTACTCCAGCCTGAGCAACAAGAGCAAAATTCCATCTTAAAATAAAAATACATACATACATACATACATATCCCTACAATGGAATATGGTTCAGTCATACAAAGTAATTCAGTACTAATTACATGCCACATCCTGCATGAACCTTGAAAATATTACACTACTAGAAATAAGTCAGTCATGAATAAAAACCAAATAGTACATGATTCTATTGATGTAAACTATCCAGATTAGGCAAGTTTTTAAAGGCATAAAGTAGATTTGTGATTTCAAGAAGATGAGAAATGACTGCTATTGGAGATGTGTTTATTTTTGGAATTATGAAAATATTCTAACATTAGATTGTGGTGATAGCTGCACAACTCTGAATATGCTAAAAATCAATGAACTGTATACTTTGAGTGGGTGAATTTTATGGTATGCGAATTATATCTCAATAAAGTCATTACAAGAGTAAAAGAAAGCTGGAGTGGTTATATTATCTCACAAGCAGATTTCAGAGCAAAGAAAATTACCAGAGATAAGAAGGGCTATCACTTAAAAGAGCCAATTTATTAAAAGATACATCATAAATGTGACTGATCCCAACAATTATAAATATGACTGATTCTAACAATGGAGCTTCAAAATTCATGAAGCAAAAACTGGCAAAATTGGAAAAAAATAAAGACAGATCCACACTTACAGTTGAGGACTTTGATACTACATTCCTAGTCATGTATAAGAACAAGCAGAGCGAAAATCAGCAATGATACTGGCACAACTAGGCAGCATCATCAACGAACACTGACATTTGTAGGACATCCCGCCCAACAGCATTAGAATAACCATACTTTTCAACATACAGAACATTCACCCAGACAGTCCATATTCAAATCTTGAAATATTACAAAAAATTAAAATCATACAGCTCGTTCTCTGACCATAATATAATGAGCTAGGAATTACTAACTGCAAGACAACAGGAAACTCTCTAACCACATAAAAATAAAACAACACATTTCTACGTAATCTAAATCCTAAAGTGATAAATTAAATTAGGCCTAATGCTGACTCTGTAAGTAGCAGACTACAACCTGATTTGAGAGTGTATTCTTATAACAAGTAGCTGAGTCTCAGCCAATGACAGTAGCAGAGCTTCAGCCAATCACAGGCTGTTAACTAATCAGACCATGTCCATTGAAGGCAAATGCCTAATCACACCACGACCAACTAAAGCAAACACTAGGCTGGATCCAATCAACTGATTTATGTGCATCACTTCTTTCCTTTGTTTATGAATACTGCCTGCCCATGTTTCTGGGTGGAGCTCTCTGAAACTTCTGGTTCTGGGTGCTTCTTGATTCATGAACCGTTTTTTGCTCCAATAAACTCTGCTTAATTTAATTTGTCTAAAGTTTTTCTCTTAACAGTTTCACATGAGATGTCAAATCTTGAATTAAACTTCCAGTGATTCCAGGAGCACTGAGTGACCAAGTTAAGGTACCCACCTGCCCATTGTGCCCATTGCTCTTTCATAGCAACTGAGGTCATGGCTAAGATTTTCTGAAACTGAGCTTCATGAACTTGTGATTTGAGCTCTCTGAGTTTGAGCATTTTTTATCTACAGTGGGTTTCGAAGTTGTGACAAAAGTAGGATTGGGCCCAGTAGGGAGGCCTCAGGTATCAAACTGGGTCAGACAGAAACTAGACTTAATTTAGTAGGTAGAAAAGTTTAATAAAAGACACCGAATCATGGATTTATCTGATCAATTGTGGCTAGAACTTCACCATCTGGGAATTCTAGCCAATTTCATGTATAAAAACTAGAGGCCCAGAACTTGTGCTTTTCTAGATTAATGGGAGAATCTTACCAAAAGTAACATAGAATGACTGCAGTGTGAAAATTCCTTACAAAAGGCAAACAGGTTTATGTCTTTACAGTTGTAAGGGCTACAGAGCCCAAGAGGAGCTCTTCATACATATTTTCATTCCAAACCAGGGATTCCAAATTAAGAACCCTATGCCCGAAGATGTCTGCCTTATGGTAAATAGTCATGCAACTGGAAAAGACATTTTCTACTTTTATACCAGCGTCTAACAGATCCCCTACCTTTGTCTGAACTATTACTCCACTAGAGGAAGCCCCCCAAGGCTTTAATCCCAAAACAATCACCCATCAATTTCTCAGTAAGGAAAAACAAATTCTGTGGTGGGGGTTCAAATCTAACCTGAAAAGTTCCTAATTGACACTTGGACCATTTTCAGAAAAAAACATTTGTAAGAATTAGTCCTCTCTGTTATCTCTATTTCATCTTGCTTTTCCCATGAGAATCTCTCAAGTCTACTGAAACCCCTCTTTTAAAACTCCTGCTAACTATATGCTCTGCCAACTGTATACGTCTCTTTCTTGTCATCATGATCCTGACTCTGCTCCAAAACTCTTGGAAATAAAAAACAACAGAAGACAAAATCAAAACGTTTGGTCTGTCATTTATTCTTAAAAACAGAAACGAACAAAAAAGAACAAAAAAATATTTATAAGAATAAAATATTCATGCAGAGTTCTGGCACATAAAATGCTATATAGACTAAGCATCCCTAATCTGAAAGTCCAAAATCTGAAATGCTCAGAAATCCAAAATTTTGAGTACCAACATGATGCCACAAGCGGAATGTGAAGAGGATACTGTTAACACTGCAAAGTGCCTATAGATAACATACGTGATGGGTTTATTGAAGGACTAGAAGAGAATGCATTCATCACAGAATAAGCAATTGTGTCAGTTTATTAAATCAACAGAGAATTCTAAGACAAAAACCACTGTTACTGAGACAGGTGACTCTGGAGGAAACATGAAGTCATCCATCAGAATACTTCCTCATTTCTAGAGAAAACACTTGCTGGTCACCCGACTACTTCTGATATTTCTTCTCACTTAAAATAATAAAATACAGTGAACAATAACCTTGTAATCAGAGTACAACATTGCAGGTAAAGAATGAAAGCCTGGCATTGCTTATTGGTGGCTTTTTAACAGCTGATACAGGCATTCTGGAGACACTACTCTTCTGCTTAGTTACCTTGAACACATTATCTTTTCACTATATTAATGATGCATCTTATTTTTTACTGTTAAGCACTTATTTGTGAGTAATACAAGAAAACAATTGCTTATCAGTAGCATAATAAATTTAGAGTCAGGAATGACGGTGATGCCAAATAGCCACAGATTGTCCACATGGGTGACTAAGATATTGATACTTTCGCTTTCTAATGGTTCAATGTACATAAATGTTTCATACACATTATCAAAAATATTGTATAAAATTATTTTCAGGCTATGTGTTTAAAACATAATGGAACATAAATTTCATGCTGACTTGGATCCCATCCTCAGTATATCTCATTGTGTACAGGCATGCCTTGTTTTATTATGCTTTGCTATATTGTGATTCACAGATATTCCATTTTTTTAAACAAATGAGGGTTTGTGGCATCCTTGTATTAAGGAGTGTATCAGTACCATTTTGTAGAGCAGCAAGTTTTACTCTGTCACATATTGGTAATTCTCACAATATTTCAGACTTTTTCATTACAATTAATCTCTTATGGTGATCTATGATCAGTGATCTTTGATGTTACTATTGTAATTGTTTTGGGATGCCATGAACCATGCCTATATAAGATGGTGAACTTAATTAATAAGTGTGTGTGTGGTGTGACTGCTCCATAGAGCAACTATTCTCCCATCTCTTTCCCTATACTAGGGCCTCTCTATTCCTTGAGACAAAACAATATTGAAATTAGGACTACAAATGCCTTTAAGTACTCAAGGGAAAAGAAGGGTTGTGAATCTCTCACTTTGTCAAAAGGCTGGAAAATATTAAGCTTAATGAGGAAGGCATGTTGAAAGCAAAGACAGGCCAAAAGCTAGGCCTAGATTCCTTCGATAAATCTAGGCAATGTAAATTGAAAACCTTCTAAAAAGGATTCACCATTTTAGATCTCATTAAGAATTTTTGTGGCCGGGCGCAGTGGCTCACGCCTGTAATCCCAGCACTTTGGGAGGCCCAGGCAGGTGAATCACAGGTCAAGAGATCAAGACCATCCTGGTCAACATGGTGAAACCCCGTCTCTACTAAAAATACAAAAAATTAGCTGGGCATGGTGGCGGGTGCCTGTAATCCCAGCTACTCAGGAGGCTGAGGCAGGAGAATTGCCTGAACCCAGGAGGCGGAGGTTGCGGTGAGCTGAGATCACGCCATTGCACTCCAGCCTGGGTAATAAGAGCGAAACTCCGTCTCAAAAAAAAAAAAAGAATTTTTGTGATTCATGAGAGGAAGTCAAAATATCAGTGTTAACAGGACCTTGGAAGAAGCTGATTCCAACCCTCCTGAATGATTTTGAGTAGTTCAAGACTTCACTGGATGAACTAACTACCTGCAGATGTGACAGAAATAGCAAGAAAACAAGAAATAGAAGTGAAGCATGAAGATGTTACTGAATTGTTGTAGTCTCATGATAAAGCTTAAAGAGATCATTGCTTCTATAGATAAGGAAGAAAAAATGGAAGCCATTTCCCAGGTGATTTTAATATGTCCCCTCCTGCTCCCAACACATACAACCTCAATTATAGATCTATGAAATTTTACCTCATTCAGATAAAAACCTATCTGCTGTAGGAATCATAATACATTCAATCAAATGTTCAATTTACCAATATAAATAAGACATATCTATTTTTTTCTCAAATCTCAATTGTAAACCCAAGTAAATTTCCTCTATATCAAATTCAAAATAAATCCAAAATATGCTATAAAAGATTTGTAAGTTATAGATTCTCATTTTCACAGAAGGAATGCACAATGAAAATAATAGTAATTGTAAACTACAAAAATATCAAGCACAATTGTTAAGTAAACACATTATAGTGGAACATTATGATGAAATCATATTCCTTTAAAAATATAGTAACAAATAGTTTTGTAAAAATCATTAAATGTTTGCATTCAGGTGTTAAACATATAACCTAGTTAATCATAATGATAGACTGTTTTTAAAAAGTATGGAAAACCTGGAGGAAATATGCTAAGATATAAACATTTCCTCTTTAAATTTTCTACAATAAACGTTTAATAGATTATATAAACTGAGTTTTTAAAATACTTTTAAAAACCTGACAATGTACTCTTGTAGTGAATCTGTAACTAAAAATACCTGCATGTTCATCAAAGATGAAATTTTATGGACACTTTTGCAAGTACTATCCTCTTTATAGATTTTAAGCCAAATTTCTTGGATCCTATAGTGGACTGTGTTGATTGGTTATGGGTTTCTTGGCTACAGGGAACTGGATAGTTCAGTGGGCTCAATATGAGTGGATTAAAGTTCAATGACTGAAGGATTCAGTCATTTCTGTAGACATCATGTAAACTTAGTAAGTTTCTGTCACATGGGCTGAAATTAGAGAAATTAATTCCAGGCTTGCACAAGATAAGCCTAGGTCCATGTTGATAAAATATGCTGCAGCAGAAGTGTCCCCATAGATACACAAGATCTTCATTAGAATTACATGTAACCTATATGTACTTAATTGTATCTTATACAGTTAGTCTTTTAATATTTAAAATAGTAGTAAAACAGGATGTCATGTGGCTTACAGTTAAGTCATTTTAATAAGAAACTTTACATATATGAAAACAGACTTTTTAAAAATAAGTCATGTGCAAACACACACAAATATAATTCAAGGAATCAGCAGTGCATACATTTACACAATATATTTATAAAAAAAAAAACCTTAGTCCAATACCCATTTCCCATTCAAAAGGCAACCACAGACATTAGATTTTTTGCCTTCTAAGAGATTTTCTAAACATATATAAACATCTAAATGGTTTTTATACAAATGACAATCATCAATACAATTTTGTCTTTTTCTTTTCATTTATTAAAATGTCTTGATGTTGATTACATTTCAGTCCATATAACCTTATTGTTTTTAGGGACTGCAACATAATGAATTTATTTATTCATTTATTTATTATTATTATTTTAAGGAGGATGGAGGATCCAGGAGAAGGAGGAAGGGAGCAACATAATGAATTTAACTGGCTGCTTAATGACAAAAACTTAAATTGTTTCCAAATTCAGGCTATTACCAAAAATGCTGAAAAAAATTATATTTTCTTCCTGTGCATCTGTGCATTAAATTCTTGGAGGCAGTACTGGTGGATCGAAGTTTTGTACATTTTTTAAAGATACTATCAAATGGCACTCTAAAGAATTTGAATCAATTTAGACCCCAGACAAAAGTTACATTCCTAATACAGTATTTTATCAACATTTTTGTAGTTGTCAATCTGATACATTAAAAAATGTTTTATTTTCTATATATCTTATAATGAGGAGGCTGAGCCACATTTATTATTTGTTTGAAGGCAACTTGTAACTCTATTTCCGTGAACTGTCTGTCATTTGTTCATTTCTCTGTTAGCTTTTCATTTTGTTTTGTCTTCTTTATATGAAAGGTGTTAACATTTATATTAAAATTATCTTTTCAAAACTTAACACTTGTCTTTACTGCATTTTTGTCATGCAATTTTATTTTCTTTTTGAGACAGGGTCTCTTTCCATTGCCTATGCTGGAATGGCTTACTGCAGCCTTGACCTCCCAGGCTCAATCAATCCTCCTGCCTCAGCCTTCTAAGTAGCTGGGACTACAAGTGGGTGCCACCATGCCTGGCCAATTTTTAAATTTTTTTATAGATGTGGTTTCGCCATGTTGCCCAGGATGCTCTCAGACTCCTGGGCTCAAGCAATCTGCCTACCCCAGCCTCCAAAAGTACTGTGATGACGGGCATATCACCACCACCCAGCCTTATCATGCAATTAGAAACAAGTTTTGCAGTCCAATTTCAGACGTTTGCCTTTTTAGGAATAGTATATCTGTCTCTTTCATCCTGAAGGATGAGTACTATGAAACTGAATTTTAGTACAATGCTGTCATATATGACTATGAACATTTCTGTATATTTTGTTTATGAACGTTATATGGTTGTAAAATCCCTCAGGCAAAATTTTTCACTACTGTGCTTGCAATAAAGATCATAACCATCAATATTAGGGAAGAAAAAAAAGGAAGGGGATTTTAAAGGAAGCAGTTGAAAGAAGACACTTAGAAAAAATGAGACATTATGGAAAGCTTTGTGAAATACATTTCTTCTGTAGTAAACGACAACTAATATATTCTAGAAGACAGTATTCTGTATAAATTACCAATCACTATCAATTTTTCCTTATACACATGCACACATTATAAATATATGTAATACCACATCACTACCCATAATATATAATTCAGCCTATATTCCAAATTATTTACAAAAATATCATTACTACACTACACACACACACACACACACACACACACAGTGTTTCACCTTGTACTTTGTTCCATTTTGGGTTTTAACTTTAACTTATTATATGCTTTGGATATATTTCCAAGTTAGAACATTTAGAGCTACAATGTTTTAAATTGTATATTAGTCCACTTTTGAATATACCACAAATTATGTAATCAATTCCCAATCAGTGGCTACAGAGTTGTAGCCATATTTTCTATATTGTAAACAATTCTACTTTAAACATCTTTGACAGGGATTTTTATTTGTATACTTGGGAGCATGTTTTGCAGAATTCCAATAAGTAAATAAACATCTGTAAATCTGAACAGCTTTAACCCTAAAAAGTTTCACCAATTCACATTTCCACTAAAAGTCTGTAAAATTATATTTCCTTCATTGCATTTCCAACACGAAAAGTTATCAGACTTTCAACATTTGTAAAATTAATGCAAAAATTGATGTCTTTATGTTTCTTTGGATAATTAGTGTGGCTAAGAGTCTTCACTCTGCTTAATATTTGCATTTCTTTTGCTTGAGTTACCTCTTTTTTTTGTCTAATAACAATGTCCCCGGTTTGTATCCTTTTTGGGGGATGCAAATGTTAATAAAAATCATGTCCCTAAATGAGTCTAGGTTTTTGTATTATGATTAGAAATGCTTTTCCCACATGCAATGTACACAGTTATCTATTCAGGTTTTTCCTTTTTAGGCTGCATATTTAGATTTAAACTAGTAAGCCATCTATACTACATTTGTCTATTAACAGTGAGGAAAAGTTTCAGTTTTATTATTAGCTTTCCCAAATAAATTCCTGTTTGTCCAAGCACACTCAATTAAATGTTATTTCTTCTTCCCCACCCACTGATTTAAAATGTATGCTTATCAAATGCCAGCTTTCCTTTTATTCTTAAATGTCCCTTCAGTTTCATTTGCACATCTGGTGGTAGGACTATTCCATTGTCTTTTAATCAACACAGTTTTGTAACACCTTTTCTTATATGAAGAAGTCTCCACTATATATGTGTGTGTGTGTGTGTATATATATATATATATATATGTCAAAATTATATTTTATAAAATAATATTTTTATATTTGCAACATATTATACATATTAATATATAATGTTTGTTCTTCCACATGAGCTAAACAGTACAGTTAAAAACAGTCACAGAATTATTCAGTTAGGATTCTATTATACGTTGTTTTAGAGAAATGATATCTTTACCTAGAAAAATGTTATATATTTTATTGGATTCTCATGCATACCTTTCATATCTTCTTAAAAATAACTTCTCAATTGTGTGTTATTTCATGCCAAACTGAATTTTACTTTGTTCTACTGTATTATCTAGTTTATGTATAAACATCATTTGATTCCTACAAATTAAGTATGATGCAATTGGACACTGATAAATTCACTTACGGTTCCCATTAAATTTCAATGCTTCCTATGGACATTAAGGTATATAATCACATCGTGCATAAAGTGATAATATGTTCCCCTACCTGTTGTCACTCGCCCATAGGATTCAAAACCATGTCACAGAGCGTAATGATTAGCATTCCTGTGTTTTTCAAATTTAATAATGGCAAGGTTACTAGTATTTCACAGTTAACCATAAGAGCAGATAGACGGAAGTTGTCTTCTATGACTATTACAGGAGAATGCAATCTAAATTATGAAATCTACTCCCCTTTAAGCAGTATCAAGTTTGGTGCATTATACCTCCATCTGTACCTATTTTGGTGGCTCCATTTTAAATGCAATACAAAATTAAAAACTAAATTGTAGATCCTAAGGGAAGATAAACAAGGCCACAAAACGAGAAAATTTTAAGTCTTTATGAACGTTTTATTTTTAGAAACAAATCAAGCACAGCCCCAAATCGCCCCAGTTTGCCAAAATTTACAATGTGAGAGAGGGTTCTCTCCGGTCACCGCCTCCAGTCGCCGAGCACTTAAAGAAGTTACCATAAAGCATTTTTATCTGCGAGTGGCCAGGCCTGAGTCCCTGAGAGCCGCGCCATAGAAACGCCAGTTAGAGACCCAAGAGAAGCCCAACAAGGCGACCTGTCACGCCCGAGCAAAACGCGAGGGAGGCGCCCATGAAGTGCGGCCAGATCCCTATCCCTGGGCTGCAAACAGCTCGCGCCCAAACCCGCTGCGTCTCCACCGCAGACGCGCGCCTGACACCACAAAACTTCTGCAACCACCTGAGATTGCGGGACTAGGGCCATGTCCGGGAACTACCGGCGCAGGACGCCGCGCGACCCCCGCGCCTCCCCGCAGTCACCGCGGCTTCGGGCCTCCCCTCACGACACTCTCGGCCCTACAGCCAGGCGCCCACGCCACCCCGTTCTGCTCTGCGCCCGCCTCTCCGGCCCCACTCACCGCCTGCCCCGCAGACTGCTGGGCACCGGCGACGCCAGACGCGGGGTCTAGTAATATTTGCAGAGAGGAAAGGGAAAGGAGCGGAGGCAGGGAAAGGAGACGGAAGAGGATTTTTCAACTTAGAAACAGTCAGCGCGCGCAGGACGGCGGCGAGGCGCGGAGTCAGGGGCGGGTCAGGCTCGCCTGGACCCTCCTTCCCCTCGCGCGGCCCCCCCGCCCCGCGCTGAGAGAGCTGCCAGTCCGCGAGTGCTTCTTCCTGGAAGGGGTGGGGCACAGTGAAGTCCGCTGAAACCCAAAAGCCTAGGGGGAGGGAGAAATGGAGAAACCAAATTATCACTGCTCTGACGAGGTGAAAGAAAAAAGCCACCCCACAGTCACTTCCAATCAGAGGGTTAGGTTGCAGGGCCTGGGAAAAAGGAGATTTGCTGATAGATTACTGTGCCTAGAGAAAGACAGAAGAAACCTCTCTTTCTCAAGAGCCTTTTTGATTTGCATTGGAGCCCACCCCCAGGTCCTCGGCTTGGCAATGCAGTACTGGCTGGAAACACCTGGGCGCGGGGCCGGGAATTCTGTTTTCTTTTCTACAGGGCTGGGGGAGGCCAATTTGATCTTGGAGGGAAGGAGGGAGAGACGCCAAGAAAGAGGGGAGGGGGAGCAGATTGCCCATCCTTTCTGACGTTGGGAGAAAAATGGCATTTGTTAATTACTTCTTTCAGGCACAAATATTTCTTCAAACCAATGGGATTCAGTTCTGTGGTGATGCTTAGGGAGAAGCACAGTACACTGACAGGAAGTTGGAGAACCTGAAGGTCCTCTGACCTTATAAAGAATCAGAACTGGACAGAGGTAAGTTTGATTAAGCTCTGAGGAGTACTTGGCAGAACCTCATTGTGGGAGAAGGTTGGATAGGGGAAGTGATGTGGGAGTGGAGTTCCAGAATTTTCCGTTTTCCTTTATATGTGTGTTATTTGTTAATATTCCTGTGAGAATCGATTTAAAAATTCATACTGTTCTTCTCAGTAATAATTACACAGAATATTTTTCAAATGCAGACATAGTGTTTTATTGAAAGCATAAAACAAAGAAACTGGTGGTGAAACTACAGTAAATTATAATGATGTGTTACCTTTGTTTTAAATTTATGAAAGAGGCCAAGTAATTGAGCTTATGAATGTAAACATCCACAGAGGCCACATGAAAGATGCCAAAAGTTTTAATAGCAAAACATGTCTTGTGAAACATACTGCTTTGTGTGGGTCAAGATGGCCAGGGGGAGACCTATGCTAATTCTAGCTAAATAATTATAAGCTTGCTTGGCTCACAGTACACTGACGTTTATACACTGAACTAAACTATATTATTGGTGCAGTTAATTAGAAATTAAGTGGCAACAGGAGGCCTAAGGCGCAGTAACACCTGGGAACACTCGGGGTGGTTGCAGAGCAGGCAGTACTGCTCCGGCCCCTTCTCAACACGGAGACTGCAAGAGGGCCTCCTAAAGAGAGTTTATGCAAAGATCTCTGAGAAGGGAGGCTCACAAAGATTTCTGCTTACAAGATCTGGGAGGGTCTTTGCAGATGGGAGCTGGCAAGGAGGAGAAAAGCCTTGCCAGGGCAGAGATCACAGAACACCTCAGGCTCTGCCTGGTTCTCAGAATATGGAGTGATTTTAATTGCTCTATGTCCGCAATGCTCGGGAGATAAAAGCCCCTGATGTACCGGGTGTGGTCAGACCTGGTGGCTCCTCATTCGCTATACTTCTAATGCAGCTGCACCCTGATAACAATGTCTTAGAAGGATCTCGAGGGCTGTAAAATGCTCACTAGTTTAGCATGTCTTAGAAGGATCTCAAGTGCTCCCCCAAACCTGGCTATCTTACCTACGTCTTCACCTTCCCCTTTCACGCCCATAAGATCAGTGGGATTATGCACATAATAAAAGTGCTTCCAGCCCAGAGCTCAGGGCCAGTGCAGTTCCCACACTTGCCTTGGTCCCCTGGACCCATGCTGTAACTTCTACTTTTGTGTCTCTGCCTTTATTTCCTTTTCTCAGTCCCTCGTCACTGCCAGGACTAAGGGCACCCATGTATGGGGTTGGGCTGGTTCCCAACACTTTGAGAATTTGAGGGATTAAAATAAAATCAGGTATGTCATATACCCAAAAATCACAACTTTTGAGGGGAAGAAGAAGAACTCAATCTCCTGTCTTTCTGAAATTCCCTGATGTGATTACTTTCCAACTTGAACATTTCCAGGGATGACAAATTCACTACTTTTTATACTAATCCCATTGTAGTTGCTCTATTGCTCTAACCTGTATTTCTTTGTGTTATTTCCTTTTCACTGGTTGTTCTTATGTTACCACAGTATACTTAGAATTAATAATGTACCACTTCACATAAAGTTAAGAAATTTATAACTACAGTTCCTCAATTCTTGAACTCTGACCTCAGGTGATCCACCCACCTCAGCCTCCCAAAGTGCTAGGATTACAAGCATGAGCCACAGCGCCCAGCCCCTACAGTTCCTCAATTCTATGTACAAATGCTGTCAGATTTCAGATACACATTAATTATAGTCTACACAACAAAATGTTTTAAGTTTTGCTTAACTAGTGAGTTGTCTTTTACAAAAATTAAAAGAAGAAAAAAATAGCTTTTATATATTTCCACATATACACAATTTCCTGTGCTCTTTTTTTCTTATAGATCTTAGTTTCACCTATTACCAGTTACCTTCAGGCTAGAGACTTTCCATTAGTATTTCTTGTTATTTTTGAGACAGGGTCTCACTCTGGTTGCCCAGACTAGAGTACAGTGGCACAACCTCTACTAACTGCAGCCTTGGCCTCCTGGGCTCAGGTGATTCTTCTGCTTCAGCTTCCCAAGTAGCTGAGATTACAGGTACACACCACTATGCCCAGCTAATTTTATGTATTTTTTTGGTAGACATGGGATTTGGCTATGTTAACCAGACTGGTCTCAAACTCCTGGATTCAAGCCATCTGCCCACCTTGACCTATTAAAGTGCTAGGATTACAGGTGTGAGCCACTATACCCAACCACTTTAGTATTTCTTGTAGTGCAGATCAGCTACAAATTCTTTGTAGGTTTTTTAAATCTAAAAATGTTTTTATTTTGTATGAATGTTTTAGTGGTATTTTTACTGGTTACAGAATTCAGGGTGTACAGATTTTTTATTTTATTCCCCAAAAATTTCGACCTCCATTTTCATCTGATAGTATTCATATTAACGGTTTTAAGAATAACTTTTTATCATTGGTTTTCTGCAGTTAGTCTATGATGCATGGCTCTTTCTGTATTTATCCTACTGTGGTTCTCTGGGCTTCAAAGATACATAGGTAGGTATTATTCAACAAATTTGAAAAACTTTAAGTCATTATTTCTTTAAATTACTGCACTGTCGCCTTTTCTCTCTCTTTTAATTCTGGAAATTCAGTTCAATTAATTGTATGTTGGACCATATGATATGGACTCACAGCTCACCAATACTTTACATTTTTTTGATTTTTTTGCTCATTAAGTTTAATAATTTTTATGGATCTCTCTCAAAAATATGCTGACCCTTATTTCAATTTGCTGTTAAGTCCATTACAAAATTAACAGTTTTCAATGGTAGTATTTCTATTTGGTTCATTTGGGCAGTTTCTCTGTCTTTGATGAGATTTCACATCTGTTCATTCACTAAGACCATCATTATCTTAACTTTTTAAGTTATAGTAACTGTTTGATAAGGTCTGGATATGTGTCCCTGCCAAATCTCATGTTGAAATGTAAAGGTAGCATGTTGGGAGGTATTTGGATTATGAGGAAGAAGCCCCTGTGAATGGCTTAATGCCACTGCCTTGGTGATGAGTGTGTTCATGCTCTGTTAGTTCCTATAAGACCTGGTTATTTAAAAGAATGTGTCCCCTCCCCTCTCTCTCACTCCAGCTCTTGCCACATAATAATCCAGGGCACATCTGCTCCCCCTTTGCCTTCTGCCATGATTGTAAGTTTTTTGGTGCCTTACCAGAAGCAGATGCTATCACTATGCTTCCTGTACAGCCTGTAGAACCATGAGCCAATTAAACCTCTTTTCTTTATAAATTACCTAGTCTCAAGTATTCCTTGCAGCAGTGCAAGGACAGCCTAACATACTGTTTTACTACTTTATACCAACATGTGTTTCACCTTGTCATGATGATAAGTCATGATTTTCTTTTACTTACAGTGGATATTTTTAAATTATATACAGGACATTGCAAATAATTTTTCTGAGTTATGCTTTCTTCCTCTACAGAGAAATCATTTTCTGGCAGGCATTTGAGGGCTGATCACCTTTGACATCTGGAACCATCGGCTTACACTTTAAGGCAGAACTACTGAATGCCTGAAGATTTTACTAGCCTCCTCTATCCTTGATGTTACTCAGATTTCAAACAGTATTTCATTTGCTGTATGCAGCAACTTAAATCTTTGTCCAGTCCTTTCAGCTGCTGCCTTCTGCTGGTATCACTGGAGTGTCCCCAGTAGATGTACAGTTCCATTGTCAGTCAAGGATTTGAGGGTTTTTAATTGACAGGTATTAATGTTATTATCTGTGTCTCCTGCTTTCTGAGATTACTCTTAATTTATAACCACCCTGGTAGTCTGAAATCTCTACACCAATATCACAACTCAATAATTCTAATGCATTCTACTTGAGTTCTAGCTACGTTACACCTGAGAACTGGGAGTACCCACAGGGAAAGTGTCTAGCATCACCACAAAAAAATACCTGAAGCTGGGTAATTTCTAAAGAAAAGTGATTTAGTTGGCTCACAGTTCTGCAGCCTGTACAGAAAGCATGGCACCTAAATATGCTCTGCTTCTGGGGAGGGCTCAGGGAGCTCTTACTTATGGCAGAAGGCAATGCAGGAGTAGGCATGTCACATGGGGAGAGAGAGACAGCAAGAGAGGGAAGGGGAAGGTCCCAGACTCTTGCAAACTCTTTCAGATTTCACGTGAACTAACTGAGCAGAAACTCAGTTATCATCAAGGGGATGGTGCTAAACCATTTATTGGGGAGCCACTCCCATCATGTAATCACCTCCCACCAGGCCCCACCTCTAATATTGGGAATCACATTTCAACCG